ACCCCCCCTCCCCCCGTACATGTAAAAAAAATTCAACCCCTGTACATATAAAATAATACAACCCCCCTCCCCCCGTACATGTAAAAAAAATACAACCAGCATATGAGTGTAAAGGACACTCAACCTTGTAGAACCTTTCCAGTGTGTCAGCGAGGAGACAATGAACTCCCTTTAAGGGAGAAAGGTTCTACAAGGTTGAGTGTCCTTTACACTCATATGCTGTTTTATTCAACACAATCCTGTAAGTGCAATAATTTTTAATTTAAATAAAGGACCTTGCTATTTGCACTTAGATTTGTCTCTCTTCCCCTTTTTCTTTGGCTGGACACTCCGGGGTTGCCCCCAAACCACACCTGGAGGGTGTACAACACCGTCATCGAGAGAGAGTACAGGCTGATTGCAGGAGAGGGGAGAGAGACTACAATAGAAGCTCTGTGTACTTACAGACGGAACAAAAAGTAATAGACCTCTGTTTATTATCTGCCGATCATCTGCCTCTTTTTTTACATTGTTTTTACATTTTTTAGATCTGATTGAAAGAACTTTGCCTACGCCAGAATCCGTTCTATAAAGGGACATTACTGGATTCCATTGTATGTTTTTTTTTGCTGACTAACCTTTTTTACATTTGTATCGACTGATGTGATTTATACAATTAATTGCCACAAAATTTATATTTGATTTACACATGGATAATATTTAGATCACAATTATTTGGTTTTTCACCGATTTTTTCACAACATTATTATCATCACTGAATAGAGATAGAACAAAATAATAGACGGGTTAAGTTTATGGTTTTATTATTTATTTGTTTCAATCACTTCCCCAGAATTTGTATATCACATAACCACTACGAATTATTGAGATGTAATTTCATCAAACAAAAGACAAGGTTTTTTAGATTATACAATTTATTATTTATCACTCAATACATTTTTTACATTTTTTTTTTCCTGTCATTTAATCTTTTTAAATAAAGTTTTATGACAGAACACTTTCTTCCTATAAAGGAATTTTTATAAATGAACTAGTTGGTGGAATACACAAACCAAGCGCAACATACTGGCACACATTGATCACGTTTACACACATTGTTGCAGCTGGTGCTTTAACACTTTATCCTAGCGCAACTAAAATTGGTTGAAATTCATCATAAAGATAAATATGATTGTTTGGTCGGGCAAGTGAGAAAAGATAAAATATTAAAACTGAAAAATGGATTGACAACTCAGCAAAATACTTTTGTGAAGCAGAAGCAGCTAAAAATCGCATCACTGCGAGCAAGTTTTCAAGTTGCCAAGCTAATAGCGCGCACTGGCCGACCATTCGTGGAGGGTGAATTTGTTAAAGAATGCCTTCTTTCTGTTACCAAAGAGATCTGTCCGGAGAAGGCTGATTTATT